CGTTGGCACCCTGCAGGAGCCCCGCCTCTTCGGAAAGTTTATCTGACTTAACTTCAACTACAATCTTGTCTTTACGTGCCTCTGGCTTTGTGCTAGGGGAGGGAGGTGACAATTTTGAGACATGTTTGCAATACCAGAGGACACGTGGCCAGCTGAGCGAGGCCAAGCCCTGGGGCTCCATCTCAGGGGATGCTCTGGAGTGGGGCCGGGCCAGAGGAAGGCCAGGGGTGAAAGAGGCTCTGGCTTAGAGAAAGCTTTGGGCTGCCCAGCCCCTCCCTCGGGAGGAGTCCCTTGGCTGCTCTACCACTCTGCTGTCCTCCTCATCACTTCCCTGCGCAGACGGGGCAAGCAGTGCGGACCCCAGGCTGTGGGAAGCTGGAAGTGCTGCTGAGACCCAGCGCGGTGCCCCCCGAGGCTGCACTATTGCCTCCCTCCATGTTGGGCAGGGAGCGGCAGGTGCAATGAGATGGGAAGCATGAGTGATGGCAAGCACCTCTGGCCCCAAGGGCTCCCTGGGAGGGCGGGTGGCGGTGCTTACATGTCCTGTTTCCCAGCGCGGCCACATGGGATCTTGCCTTTCTTGTGCAGGAAGTAGATGACAGACCCCAGCACAGCCACCACAAGGATGCAGACGATGATCGCCACAATGATCACCCCTTTGCTCTCTGGTGTCTTTTGATCTAAACACAATGGGAGAGGAAGAAGTTAATGCCTGTCCCACCCTGATGCTCTCCAGCTTCTGCATTACTGCACCTCCTTGGGGGCAAGAAAAGGACCCCTTCCCCCAAGAAAGCACCATGGGGACTCCAGTTCCTGGTGCTTCTCCAGCTCCCTGCAGGATGTAGATGTCAGCACAAAAATGCTGCGTTAGGGCAGTTTCTGCATGAATATGCTTTGCATTCTGCTCCCAGCTGCCATGCCCCTGCGTGCCATAAGGGGATGGCTTACAGGCTTTCCTACAAGACATCAGGCCATCCCTTTGCTTGCTTGCCCAGCAGGCCTGGGCTGCAGGAAGCCGCACTTGATGGCCTTGCTGGGCTACAGGCTGAGGACAAGCAGGCAGCTTTCACACTGCTGCAGAAACAGGTGAAGACAGCCTCCGTTTCCCTCGCGGCTTGGCAGGGAGAGAGGAGCAGTGACAGATGCGGTGCAAGAGCCAGCAGCCAAGGGTCCCTCCCCAGGCCAGAGGTGAGCGTGACTCCCATGGGTGGCATGCTCCCGCCAGAGCCTGGGTTGACAGACGCACGCACCCAGGGCGGTGAGGAGACTGACCTTTCCTGATGGACTCCACTGGTAGAGCAGGAAGGGAGGGACAGAGACAGAGCTCAGCCACGCCACAGCAGCACGGCACACATGGCGCCTGTGCGAGGGGGACTAATACTTCTCTGGGTTCGCAGGGCAGAGGGCAGTGCCTGAGACTCACCAAGCAGCTGGATGTGCTTCTCGCTGACACCCAGCGCATTGGAGACCCTGCACATGGCTCCCGCCCGAAGCAGGTCGTGGTTCACGCGCACTGTCAGGTTGCTGGCGATGTGCTGATTTTCAATGTACTCATGAGCCTACGAGGAGGGGGAGGCAGCAAACGATTCAGCGCCCGAGGCAATGCGCAGCCCCTCTGAGAGACCACAGCCTGGACACAGCACCCTCCCCAGCTCTCACCGTTCCGTTGACATTCCAGTGAACAGAGGGCCTGGGGAAAGCGATGGCCTTGCAGGTCAGGTTCACCACCTCGTCCTGCCGCACATACAGCGGGGAGCTGATGGCGACGATCCGTGGCTTGCCTATGGGGAGGGCTCATCAAGCACCCGTGGCTCTCGGGGGGGGGGAACAGGACTGATGCTGGGCAGGACGGGGCTCACTCTGGCAGGGAGTCATGCCCACACACATGATGGTTCTTACCCTGAACAGCCACGGCCACCTGCTTGCTCTGCTCCAGCCCCGGCACGCTTGGTGCGATCACCTTGCAGCTGAAGTTGCTGGAGGTTTCGAAGGTGAGGTTGCTCAAAAAGAGCTGGTTCCCTTCTGCGACCTTCCTGCCCTGTTGGGAAGGGATGCCCCCAGCAATGAGTCCCAAGCATCAGGTCCTTCTGCACCCAGCTCCCCAGGCTCTGCAGCTGTCCCAAAGGGGCTCAGCCCTCCCTCTTACGCACAGTGAGGGAGCCTGCAAGCACAGGACCTCTCTGCAGTACTAGCCAGGAGGTGAAGAGGTAGACATGGACAACACAGGTCCATACAAGGGGGAATCCTACCCCTGGCCTCTCTCAGGAGAGATGGAGGAAGCTCCTGGCTCTGCCCAGTTTGCTGCAAAGCCCAGGCTCACCGAGCCCGAGTGTGACAATACCCGAATGCCTGCTCACCTTCTCATCCCTCCACTGGTAGGCCAGGGCCACAGGGCTGTGGGCATCGCAGCTCAGCCTCACGCTATCTCCTTCCTGAAGGGGTGAGGATGGCTCCATCTTCACACGGACCCCTTCAATGTCTAGGAGAGGGATGGAGAGCAGGGCAGGGTGAGCAGAAGGGATGGGGCACCCACCACAAGGTGTGCAGGGTCCCATCCCCCGCCTTACAGTTCACAACAAGCTCCACGTCCTTCTCCAGCTGTCTCATATCATCCAAGTCCAGGGTCTGGCATCTGTACAGGCCGCTGCTGCTCTTATTCACATCATGCAGGTTCAGCACCCCGCTGTTGGTGTCTGCCAGTGACGTCAGGTCCTGCCAACTGTCCTCCAGCTGCAGGCAGTGGGGAGAAAGCAGAGTCCTTAGCCCCACACAGGCACCCTCCACCCCAGCCGCTGCATCCCACTCCCCAGGGCCCTCCAGGAGCAGCCAGGACATGAGATGTCTGCCAAGGGAGAGGTGCCCAGGTCCCCTCCGGCCTCACCTCCCTCTTATAGAAGCTGAAGACGGGTGCTGGGTTCCCGTCAGCCTCGCAGACCAGCTTCACATCGTCCCCTTCCTTCACCAGTGCTGAGGACGGCACGACCTGCAGCTTCACGTGCTGCGCGGGGTCTGGGGGAGGAGGGAGCAGGGACGGTCGGTGCGGGGCCCCGCCACGCAGCACTGGGCAGCGGGCACAGCCCCCAGCCCCTGACTCACAGAAGACAGTGACGCTGACTCGCCGCGATTCCACAGCATGCCTCTGTCCCCGCAGCCAGTAGTGCACGGTGCAGTGGTAGAGGGAGTTGCGATCCTCCCGGGTGACATGGGCGAAGAGGGTGCTGCTCACCGTGTACAGCCCACTCGACTCGCGGGTCAGCGTGGCCGGGATCTTCACCACTGCAGGGGACACAGCCGCTGTCCCCAGCCCATGGGAGGCGAGGAGGGCCCCCTTGGGAGCACAGGGCTCCTTTGGGTGGCCACATGCTGCCAGTCCCCAGCTGATGAGGGCCTGGATAGCATAAGTGCCCCGACCCCTCTCTTGAGCAGGCAGATGTAGTTCCCCATCCCCATCCTCATCCTCATCCCCATCCCCATCCAACTCACTCTTCTCCTCCGGCTGCAGCTGCTCCCCATTCTTGTGCCACGTGATGTTGGGGGGTGGGAAGCTGTTTCTGCTCATGCACTGGGCAATCTGTGGCAGCAGAGAGAGCCTTGAGCACGGGATGCCCCCATGGGGAGAGGGGAGTGGGGAGCCTGGCATGGCTGGGAGCCTCCCCCTCCCCTGTGTGGGGTCTCTCCTCACCTGCGGGATGTCACTGCTCTGCACAGAAATGCCTCCTGAGTTGGCCACGATCTCAGGGGCCTCGGGGACCTCTGGAAAGAGAAGCCACCCCACGCGGATTAGGAGGGACAGGATGGGATCCCCTGCCAGACCCACAGAGCGAATGCACGGCCATGCTGCCCTCCTGCCCCATCACTCACTGTAGATGTGGAGCTCGGTGCGGTTCTCGCCCACGCCGCGGTTGCCCGCCTCAACCTGGCACACGAAGGTCCTGGCGTCCTGCACCGTCACCCTGCTGATGGAGAGGGCCTTGTCCTCCCCTACTGACAGCCGCCCCTTGTAGTCTGTGTTCTCCTCCAGGATCTCGCTGCCCATGATGCGGCACAGCCTCACCTGGTTGTTGCGGTCAATCTGCAATGTGAGGGGCCGAGGCTGGGCTGATGAGGAGCCCGGGAGAAAGCCCTGGGCTAGCTGCCACCCCAGCCCACCGCCCACCGCTCCTCTCCCAGGTCAACACTCACATAGAACCAGTTGATGTAAGTGTAGGAGCCATTTCCAGGGATGTAGAAGTTGCACTCGATCCTGGCCGTGCTCCCGCTCTCCACTTCAACCACCACCGGCATGGAGACCTCCAGCTTGCTGGCTGCAGCTGTGGGACAGACCCCGTCAGGGGCGGGAAGCACGGGGAAGCCCCCGTGTCTGTGCTAGCGATGGAGCTGAGCCCAGGCCTGTCCCCATCTCCATCTCCCGAAGGGCGTGGGGCAGAGCTGTGTCCTGCGCCAGCATCCCCCAGGCACCACGTCCCAGCCCAACGGGGGTGCCAGCCAGGAGCACAGCCCCGCTCCTGCCGCCACGCTGCCTTCTGCGTCCACAGAGAGCCTGCAGGCTCAGGCCACCACCCTTGTTCCCAGAGAGGGGATGAGGCACACTGTGCTTGCACCACCAGTCTCCTCAGCACACCTGGAGACAACCACCCACCCCACTGCTGTTGCAGTCCCCACCAGACCTGCCCTCCCCACAGCATCCCAGCCTTGCTGAAATGGGGAGCAAGACGTCTGAGCCCCCAAATCCTCCCGCACACCACCAAGGTAGGGAGTGGCTGCACCCTGCCCAGGAAT